CATGATAATTATTAGATATACTATATCCAAATGCATGGTTAATAGTATATGCCCCAACAATCTGCTATCTAAAGAAATATCATATCTGCCGCGTATCGTCACGCCCGAAGTGGATGCAATGCGAAATATCAGTAACAAAATTTACTCAAACTGGCATTAGATTCAAAATAAATGTACAAAGGAATGATCCAGATTAGACATGTAGGGTTGCAGACTTGCGGTTGAGTGGACACAGATTTTGACTAGTATAATGAGAAGAAAGTAGAGTTGGGTGTCGGGGTTACCCAAAACAATTCATAATTCTTGCGCATGTGGAAAATGGTGATACTTGAGGGGTCAAATGATGTTCCAACTATGTGTAGTTTTCCTAATCTATTTTCCTACTTCACATAAACCTCCCTAAAGATCCTATGCATTTGATTTCGAGTAAAGCTCCACTTCAATGAAATCCAACAGAACTTTCTGTTTTACTTTTCTTTGCTTACTTTACAAGAGGGTGAGGGAGGGGGAGGATTCTAGGGAAGAAAACCCGTTTACCTGCCAACCAACACCACGGCTAAGTATGGATGGTGGCAAGGGAGTGGCACTTGCATATCTTGCAACTGCAACGAAAGCACCAGTGGACTGAAAACACCAAAGCGCAAGCATGAAAGGAGGTTAGTTCAAGGTCAATCTCTTTCAGAGCATAGAAGCATCTTTTTCTTCAATAAGAATGACTAAAAAGGAAAGTGTAGAACACAAGAATTGAAAAGGACGCAAAAAGATGAGAGTAAAAAAAGGGGTAGCACAAAGAAAGAGAAGTAGATGAAGGTAAGAAGCACAGAAAATCTGAAACAACAATCAGACGTGTCATAATACCAATTACCAATGCAGCCAAATATAAGACAAACAAGATCATAGTGGAATTAGCAAAAGAAAACAACAAAAGGAGCAACCTGAAACTAAAATTTTGCAAATCCTGCCAGAATAAGATAATAAAACATTCACAATATTCAAAAGCTCTGACGGGTGAACCAACCTCTACAAGGGCAACAAAAGTAGCCATCATCATAGCAAAAGCTTCACCAGCTTCGAATGAAGGAGGTCCCCATTGGAAGGGGTAAGGAATACTAATCCTGCAAATTCAAACCAGCAAGGAAAAAGAGAAAATCATTAAGTTTACAAATTATATGTTACCTTGTAAGATCATAGAAATATTTTCCTAATGGACTAACAGAACTTATTAAGAACACTACTGAACTAACAAAAAAACTTCACACGAGTAATAAGCAGAATGAAATGTTTTTTAAACAATATGCATCCCATGTTACAATCATAAGACCATTAGTAAAAAAATATGAAACGGAGAACATAAAGTAATTTTGTTAGGTTCCTAGAGAGTAGAAAAGGAAATATTTTTGCTTCTCCATATTTCAAAAAATTGACCAACTATCTATGCAGTTGACAATATGAGAGTCAGATAGATTACATTGGGACACCCATCAGTCTCTATAAGCTTGTGCTTACTTTTCCTAATCTGTAGCAGCATCGTCGTATCTGTCAGTTATGCTTGACGTGGCAATAACAAACCAGCACAAGCAGTTAATCAGTTGTGACTAAATTGATGGTGAAAGAAAAAGCACAATTGATCATCCCATGCGAGCCTCTCTACTAGGTAGGGGTAAGGCTGTGTATACCTCCCCAGACCCCACTTGTGGGGTTACAGTGGGTTTGTTGTTGTTGTTTGATCATCCCATGTGAATTCATATAGCTCAAATACCTAGAGACCTATCTCTCTTATTCTCTTCTTGTTTTCCATTTCAATAATGTAAGGCAAGGTCAGTTTAATGGATAAGTACACACCAACTTCCAGTCTCTTCCATAACTTTTGCCTATAGAAGCTACGTTTTTATCTTTATTAGCACGAATTGCTAACAGGAGCTACTAGGGTAATAAATTTTAGAGAGTGCAAAAAGAACAAGGCACAGTACACTCTAGATTTCTTAAAATCTAAGAGTTAAGAGTGGAAAAACTATGGCCTATTTCATATGTCAAAACAAAGTATCATTATGTTTAAGTTTGTAATGTCATATAGGTTACTGGAAACTACTCCTATGTCCCAATATAAGCATCCTAGTTTCCTCCTTATGCTGTGTCAACTTGTGCCACTTCCCTTGAACACAACTTTTACAGCATACTGTAGAATCCTTTTCAATTCTATGTCTGCAACAGATTATAAGGTTGTAGGTTTTACCGAGGAGTTTTGCTTTATCAATAATTTTGGACCGACATATACAAAAATACGAAAAAATTTCCGTCCGTGAGACCCATGCTAGTAATATTAAGAAATTGGAAAGGAGAAGGAGAGAAAAGCACTTGCCATGGAGCACCATTAATAAGTCCAGCACGATCAGTTCTGCAGCTTGCTTGTGTCTTTGGTGGCTTTCCATTGTAAGCCCCACCAACAGTGAGTAGGTGTGCATAAATCCACACAATGGCCACCGTGAAAATAACGGCGAAACGATCAAAGATATTCTTCCCTGGGCGTATCAAATGGGCCAAATACTGCAATAACAAGCATTATCAAGAATGCACAACTTATATCTCAAAAACAAAAACAAAAAATGTGTAACTTATATCCCATGATGTCTTGCTCGTAAAATAATGTTTAAGAGGAATATATGATTTCTAGACAAAGCATTCCACCTGAGAGAAAATGACTAAAAGGACTAGCTCTGGCAACCCAACTTCAACACATTTGGCAACCTAAACAAAGATGAAGTAGATTCAACATTCATCATTGAGTGAATATCGTAATGCAAGAAAAGTGTAGTGAGTTTCTACTTACCCCAGGAAAACCAAACTCATAAAGCCCAAAGCCAACAAGAGAAACCAAAGGAACAGCTGAAAGAGGGCTCAATAACCTAAGAATCCACGGGAAGTAAAATGCAAATCAGAGCTAGTATATTGCACGAAAGAGTCGACATAACTGAGCAGACCTCAAACCACAAAAAGTGATCCTTAAAGCAATTACTTGATCACTAGAATAGCATAACAATATCCAAGAGCAGACAAGTATATGCTTAATTAATGGTACAAAGCCAGGTGTTATATGAGAAGTCCAGTTCAACTGTAGGGAGAAGTCTTGTGATATAACAAACCTTGTAACATTGCGCCAGAGACCACTGAAGCCAAGGACAATCTGAACGGTTGAAGCAACAATAACTGCACCTTGGGTGGCCCGCATTATCTTCTTGAACCTCTGATGAATCATAGAAAATATCAACAAACGTTAAGACCCAATATCACCAACATGCAATGGATGACTCCCTGTGTGTATCTGCATCTCTAAACACCTTCGTGACCATTAGGGAAGTTAAAGGAACGTGCACTGACATGAATCATCAAGTGGAAAGTAAATTATTTGTGCATCAGTTTCTTTTGACACTTGGATGATATTTAAATTTGTTTCTCAAAATGATTTTATGGAAACTTGCCGTTATTGTTTGGATTTGGTTTTTTGAAATACTGGTGGTACTTGGATTTGTAATTCAAATTCTTTAAGTTATGATCTTCATTCAAAAGTTTGAAGATATATCATTAAAACCTTAAAAACACTGTAGACACTATCATATTGTTAAATTATGAGAAAAGTCAATTAAACATATTTACAAACAGTCAAAAGGTAACAAAAAATGATTGTTCGACCATCCGGACCAAATAAAGGAGAAACAAGAAAAAGGCAGGAGGGGTTGTGGCATGATGTCTGAACAGCCAGTATGTATAGAAAATGGTTTAGAACTGGGGGAGGTAAATGACCCAAGAGGGAAAAACAAGGAAGGTTGTAATACAATCTCTAAAATATCAAAATGGGTTTTGGGGGCTGGTCTTCTAGTGGAAATTACTCTTCCAAAAGCAATTAAGTTTGCTTGGTTTAGAACCAAATACCCCCTTTTGTGGTTCCAAAACTAATGGAGGTTAGTTTTGCGTTTGGTTTCAAAATTGAGCAGCCCATTAGCTATAATTGGTTTTCCAACATCCTAACTAAATGAGAATAAAACTGTTAAACTGCTAATCCCATGTATTCACCAACTAACTCCATGGAAAAGCTATATAGAAAAACCAAATATCATCTGCCTTTGACATTCGACCAATAAGATCACAGATGATCTAAACAATAGAAGAGAAAATGACTTAGTATTTGAAGACACCAACCGATACAGGGTCTTCATCACTCCATCGTCCAGAAAGGATAATCGAGATTGTAGGTGCAACAAAGGTATAAGACCCTCCAATCACAGCAGGCAGTCTGGTCCCAAAGATAGACTGCAACAAGGTGTTTAGCCCAGCAACAAGTAGCAATGTCTGAATAACTTGGGCTTTTTCCTCCTGCAAAACGGGCAGGTAATCTTTCATTTAACATTAATAACAATACTTGAGGTCAAGATAAATTCATATCTTAAGTAGTTAAGTTCAATGTGTCTAGAAGCCTCACATTTCCACCTCCCATTTGGGGAACAAGAGCAGTAGGAATGATAACCGTGGTACCAAGCATAACAAGATAATGTTGAAATCCAAGAAGAATAGCCTCAGCTGCATTCCAACAATTACACAAAATCAGCATAGTCCACTACTATACATACACATGGTGAAAGCGATTCAAGACCATTTTAGAAACATTTAGTACGCAATACAGAGAAGTGTTATACAACGCTCTGTTCAATAGCAGTAACAGGAAAATAAGTAGCAGTAATTACTTAGCTGAGTAAATATTACGTCGGCCACCAAAATAATAATTTATACGTTCAGCACTCTAGCCATTAATCTAGTTGCCAGCCCACTATACCCACATTAAGCAAAATGAGCTCACATTAAGTGTTGTCTTGTAGGTGAGAATGGAACCTGGACCTAATTGTTACTCATTCGCCTCAGCCAAAATAGGAAGAGATAGAAAAGAAATGAATAATAATAATGTGTAGACTTACGCCAAGGGGGAGGACTAGTAATGCAGTAAGAAACATTGGGAAGTTGATCTTTTGGTGGATGTGGCACTGGTTCACTTGCCTTTGCTGCTGGAGCTGCTCCACCTCCTGCCATTTTCTTTCTACTTATTGCTCTAAACTGTTCTTCTTGAGCAGTGCAAAATCCCAAATCTGCACACACACCCAGAATCACAAATCTCTCAGAAACTAAGCGGAAAAATGCTGGAAAAAAGAAACCAAAAAGAAGTCACAAAAAGACTGATAAGTACCAAGAGAGAAAGACTGAAGAAAAGGGGCTCAAAAGTTTGTTAGTACACACAAAGCTGAGTCACTGATAAATGAAGTGAGAAGAATGGAGCAACAAACCCACACATGCTAATTGCTATGCTACTACTACCCACTCACTCTCGTTAAAGAAAATAAAACTGTAACTCAAATCAAATGTGAATTGAGGGAGTAATTATCACAAGCAAATTATTTATACTAGGAGAAACCCCCTCAAATATATATATATATATATATTACTCTACCTTGTTCTAATAACTTTAACCTGAAGCGAATGTGTTTATGCCAGAATTAGAAATTGAAATATCCAGACTATTTTTGATTTATTTGAATGGAATAAATTAAATGTACTTATAATGATATTCAAATATCATAAACACGAATTTTGAAAAACTGGTTGAGAGATGAGATTCAAGTTGTATTAATAATTTGAAATACAGTGTATATATAGCTATATTGTGTTTGGTTTAAAACTATATTAAATTCTTATTTACAATTATATCTATTGTAATTACTAATACAAGAGTCAAAATAAGGGACAAGCATCCAGGTAATCCCACACTTGAGCTTTTGTAAGATTTTTCCATTTAATTTAACTGGAAGATCAAAGTTTCAACCCCTTTTTTTCTTTTTCCATATTTATGTTTATTTGCTTAACATAAAAACACACAACCAACAAGTGGTCATCCTTAATCAGAGGTATCGGGATGCCTTCTTAAAATGCATTAATGCAAATTTATTTATCCAACTTAAATGAACAAGCTCGAACAAGTACTCTGCTTTGATAAATCGTTACTTTAATTCTAACATTTATTTTCTATGATGTCAATTTATGTTTAATCTGATGGAGGAACTTGCAGATTAGAGCAAGAAATAGAAAATAATGAGAGAATCTCGACCCCCTCCCCTCCCCCTCCGATTAGTTTATTTGCCTATTAAAATAGTTTATCTTTTGTCAGAAACAGTAACCTTTTTCTGAAAAAACAAATACTATCTCCCTTTTTTTAAATCTGAGCCTTATATTATTTATAATATATATAATTAAAAGAAAAGAGGATTAACATTTAATCTAATGACGGATTTGTTCTTGGAAAAGCGAGTACAACAAACTCAATAGCATTTATTAAAAAAAATTCCAACGCAGGAGCGAAGAAAGTTAATGTAAGATTCCCAACAATACATTTTGAGTTTGAAAGTCAAGATTTTTCTACCCAATTGTTGATTTAATGAATTAAAATAACACTACTTGGTATTTATTTCTGGGCATCTTCACTACAGTAGTTATTATCCCTAGTTATTCTTTGAATAGTGAGAACATAAAATAAAAAGATTTTGTCTTTTAGACCTAGAAAAAGGTGCTAGAAGACATATTAAAGTGTATTTGCCTTTGCCAGGGTGCAGTGCGGGAAAATTGATCGCTTGCTGCAAATTCAAAAGTTTTAACCACATGACACATAGCCCGTTTGGCTATGAGTTTTGTCAAAATAAATTTGGGATTTATTTTCAAAACTCATGTTTGGCAATAAATTTTGTTCACATTTTGGCAAATCTCAAATCACAAAATCACCCAAATTGCTGATTTTGAGCCAAAATCTCAAAACTTGGGAATAATATACATGTTTTTCCAAAATAAAGTTGGGAAATATGTTTTGAAAACGTATGTTCAAACACATTTTCGTCTTCAAACCAAACTTCACTCAAATCAAATTTTTCAAAATAAATTTGGAATCTATGGCCAAACGCTACCATAATCTTTAGAACATCTTCAGTGACGTTTCTTAATGAGAATCTTGTTGTTACTTTCAGCTTAGTAATTACATTATCAAATGGATTAAACAATTAAGTCATAAGAAATCACAAATGAAAATATTTTAAGCGTGTGTTTGGTACGACGAAAAATATTTTCCGGAAAATGTTTGGCTTAAAAGTTTTGAAAAATATTTTCATTGTGAACTCATTTTTCTCTAGTTGAAAGAAAATATTTTCATTATCAAGTGAAGGGAAAACATTTTTCAAAACTCCTTTTCAACCTTCCCCACCCTATTTTCCATCCCCACCAACCACCCTCATACCCACCCCACCCAACCCCCACTTCACCACACGCCTACCCACCCCACCCCTAAATAAAAATATTATTAATACTACTTTCTTTTCATATTATAGATATTTTTTTTTGCATTTCAACAAATGAGTATTTTTTTTTTCTACATAATATGAAAAAGTATTTTCTTTCATTTCAATAAAAAAAAGTATTTTCTTTTCATAATTTAAAAAAAGTATTTTTTTTTTTCATTTCAACAAAATGAGTACTTTATTTTAATGTTGTAGAAATAATACTTTCTTTTTGGAAAAATGCATAAGTACCTCCTAACCTATTTCCGGAATTTCAACTACATACTTTATCTTTGCGGGAATCCTATTACTCTTTTAAACTTTTTTTAAATGGAATAAATACCACCCTAAAATTAGACAACTAAACTCTTGGCAAGTGGTGAACTTCACGCGCTGCCACATGTATATTTAGTACTTTTTTTTATTCTTTCTTCTTTTTCTTATCCTTTTTTCTTATTTCTTATTATTCTCATTTTTTTGCTATTTCATTCTCTTTCTTTTTGTTTTGGTCACCGACGGCATAAAATGGTGTCGTCGGAATTTCAAGAACTCCATGTTTTTCGGTAAATTTTTTTTTCAGCGACAGATTTTTATCCCGATTTGAGTGTGTTTTGCTTTATATTATATATATAATTTTTTCTTGAAAATGTATTTTATATGTGGGAGGAAGAGCAAAAGAAAGAAAAATAAATATATGCTGAAAATAGTGGTCGGAATTTCAAAGACTTTATTTTTTTCAGTGCAAATTTTTTTTCAGTGACGGATCAAAAAACATTGAGCTCCTCGAAAACTTTCTGGCAATCAACAATCAACAACCAAATTCTTCTTCCTCGTTCTATTTAAAATTTTGGTTCAACAAATAAAACTTAAAGAATAAAATTTACACTCCATCTCGCCGAAGAATATGGAGAATGCTGGAGCTAATTTCCGGTCAAATCTATAAGTAAAGAAACTGGAGGAAAGAAAAGAAAAATAGGAAAATAGTATTTTATAAAAAATATTATAAAAATAAAATTTCAACTTTCTCTGTCTTTCTTACTCTCCCAAAGAGAGTGACATACACTGTCTTCTGCCACATCAGCACTAAGGGTATACTAATTCCATTAAAGTTTAGGGGGTTAATAAGATTCATGTAAAGATAAAGTGTGTAGTTGAAAATTCGAGTATAGGTCAGAGGGGTACTTATGCATTTTTCCTTTCTTTTTCAACAAAAAAAAAGAGTATTTTCCTTTTAGTTATGGAGCACAAATTTTAACGTCATTTTTGCGTAAAAAATAAAGCAACACATTAGTTCCTTTGGGTTTGTGTAAATTTTTAGAAAAATAATTAAATTTTTGAAAAAAATAAAGTCCTGAAAACATTAGGTATTTGAGGAGGAGGGGGTGAGTGAGATGGGGGAGGGGGGTGAGCAAGGAAACATGGGGACTTGGGAGAATGAGTAAGGAGAGTAGTATAAAAAATTATTTTTCTAAAATAATATTTTTTACACTCTAACTGATCACGCCCAACTATGCCTTATAAAAAGGACAAAGCGGTCGTTGCAAATATATTCCGGTAACAAGTTCGGAGTCGAATCTCACATGGAATTAACCTATTAAACACAGCTATTTGACTCACACAAATTCACGTATTCAATCTTCAGAAATATTTAAGTAATAAATTGGATGGTTACTAACTAAATATTACGTAATAAAAATGTAATAATTAAGAACTAACTACGAATGGGTTGTAGACAAGAATTGGAATGATCGAAGGTTCTGATTTCCTCTATTGTCGGAATTCTTTCCGCTACATTTCCTATAAATTTGCCTAGGTCTTCTATATCAATCATGAGCATTCTAACTGTCGTAACTCTCTCCCGAGTAATTACAACAATATACTAGATATATTCTCCCGAATTACGCTGCCTTAAGTATAGCTTACTTAGATGCACCAAGGTTTCGTTATCCCTAATCTCACCTTTAAACCCTTCATATTAATCCCTCATATACGTTAGGAGTGATGTTGTACAACAACAACCTAAATATGCACTCTCTCCTGAGTAATACATATTAAATAGGAACAGCTAATTGAGGGCCCTTCAATCAACATCAATAAGCATATAGTTGAACAAATAGAGGGAATACTATAGCAAATCTATATTAAGAAATTGCTCGTGTAGGTCAAATCCTAGTCAAGCCGGGAAACGAATTAAGTCTTCAAAACTCGGACTGGACCTGGCCCTAGGCCTAGCGTCGCTAGCCTAACGCCAGCTTCAGCCTGGCCTTATCCTTGCAGCGCCAACCTAACGCCAGCCTCAGCCTGGCCTTTGCCTTGCAGCGCCAGCCTAATGCCAGCTTCAGCCTGGCCTTTGGCAGGTCTCGCCAAGCTAAAACCTGGTTAAGCTGGCCTCGCCAGGTCTCTCCTTTTCACTGTTCTCGAGCACACTTCAATATTTAAGTATCCATTTTGCTCTACTTTCATCTCCAATTCACCTACACATAAAATAGACTCCATTACGTGCAAATAAAATGTAATTTATCATTAAAGCATGTAAAATGCAAGGCACATAATGTGCTAAACCATGAATTATAGCCACACATCAATACGCCACACTTAAACATTGCTCGTCCTCGAGCAATCAAACTACACTCATGGACACATCCTATTAGGAAATTCCCTTAACTCATTATACCAAGAATCTTTAAAATAGTTTAAGCACAAAGGTGTGACATCCTCGCCTCAAGAATCGACTCACAAAAACCATGCCTTATTCACAATTCACTTACTTACTCTAACATGGAAGTCAAAAACATTACCTTTCCTTTATGAATCATGTGCCCTCACCCAATCAAAGAGCTTAGTTCCACACACAATGAATTTTAATAACATAGGAACTCAAGATAGGAAAAATTCACTCTCTCTCAGAAATAACCTTCATATGCCCCAAATGACGCACCATAAGCTTTCCCGTAGTGTAATACTCCACTAATCGAGTTCATTCAGTCTAAGATCAAATAAGACTTTCATTGGTTGTAATGTAGGTTGCGGGTCGGGTAAGATACATTTGGATATAAGTGACTACAACTCCCTTA